GGGGGGGGGGGGGGGCAGCAAGATACGCTGAGATTGTTGGAGTGGTTTGCGTCGCAAGGGATTTTGCAGGAAAAAAAACTTTTTGTGCTACTGCTGTGTCGTACCTGGGTACAAATACTTGTACTGCAGGAGTAAATGGTAGGACGTGGGAGTGGAGTGAGGCCCCCCACGTCATGATAATAACCAACCCCGGATTACGCAAGAGAGACTTCCCTGATGTTGCCCGTTTGCCCAAATACTTGGAACGATGCGGAAAGTGGATCGAAAATGCCTAAAATAGTGAAGCAGGTGCGCCCGTTATTCAAAATGATGCTACGATAACGGCAACAGCAGCAAAAACAAGGAGTGCGCAGAATCATCCTTTCAAGTAGCAGTCATTGCCGCCCGCCATTCCATTTAGCCTAGTGCTAGCAACACCTCTGTTGCGTTCAATACTCTACAAAAAATGCCTTGTAACTCCTAACATCAATTGCCAAGAGACGAATTTCAGTGGGGCCGTTGCTCTTGATGCATCATCGGAGGCCAGTGAGGTGTGTGATGTCCTACCGCCTCATCAACAAGGACGAGAAGAAAGAAAGGTGGGCATCGAATTGCATTCTCCGGTATCCAGATCGACAGGGAGCGAAAAAAACATCACCACACACCAGCAACACTTTGGAGACAGGAAGGACGAAGGCGGGTGTGATGGTACAAATCGGGTCAACGGCGAGTTTCAGAAGTCATGAGGAAACGCGATTGTTCCATGGGGTAGGAGTGACTAACAAGCCGCTGATTCTGACAGATGTTCTACGACACACGATCGCCACTTCGATAAATCTTTCTGGACAAGGGAAACTCAACCACGGGAGAAGACAAGTGACCGCGTACCACGCGGCTTGCTACTCTCGGCACATTATTTTTTAGAACGCGCGGACCACAGCAAGGGGGATAGCAGGAAAAAAGGAGCGGTATGCAAATTACTCAATCCATCCAGATGCAAGCTGGCGGCACATCTTTCTCAACGACAACAGGCGTTGTGCGTTATGCGTGAAACACGCATCTTTCTCTCTCCGGTCTGTAAAAGAACGCACGCGTGCTGGGTTAGGTCGGAGGAGAGAGTGATCATCGCAAGGCACATCGACAAGCCGTTGGGTTAGACGCCGATCTGCTGCGTGAATTGCCCCAGAGAAAATTGATCGAAAAAATGCGTCGGGAAAAACATATACAAGGCCGCCCGCCGCCCCAGCATTAATTATCTGGATGGATCGATACGATTTGCATCTGTTGTTGTTGTTGTTGTTGTTGTTTCTCGCATTAGCTGTTGTCCACAAAAAATGGGGAGCCCGGGGTCTCAAAACCCGGCACATCCGACGCCGCGGGGAAACAGTGTGTGTGATCGTGACGCTAAAAACCATTATTTCCCCCGTTCAGTTCTCTGCGCGGGACAGATCACAAAGCAGCCTGTCGTCTATCTGTCTCAACTCAGCTCGATGTTGACGCAACCTAGTGGGCTGGGAAGGTTGGGAGGTGTGTCCGTTCGGGGAGGGATGAGCGGCTAGCAATCGTTGTGCCACAGGAACAAGACACGCATTTCTCTCCAAGGGCCGATTTCATCAGCAAGCCTCGCAGCTGGTTTATACATGTGTGGCAGCAAGTACCACCATTTCCAACGTGCGCCAACAAGTGACAACAAGTGGCCATGCCCAAAAAACACACCCGACCAACGGTAGCGTAGCACAGCAGATAAAAGGAAGGCGGTGCACGCGTAGTAGCAGTACCTGCTCAAGGAGGGTCGGGGGCGACTTCCCAGTCGGGGGTCTGTTGTGTCTGGGCGTGTTGTTGTTCTCCATCGGGGCAAGGTTGATGTTGGTGGTCACGTGGCTCGGGGATATGGTGTCACCGGTCTTCTCTGGAGGGTATCCTGTCGAGCGGTTGCTCTCCGATCTGTGTGGCGTCGTGGTGGAAGCCTGCGTGGGATCCGCGGGCGGCGTGCGTGGGTTGTTGTCGTCGAGAGAGAGCGGAGCGGTTGGGCACTTTTACGGGTCCAACGCAAGCCGAAAAAAAATTCCCAACTGGACACCACAGCAGTCGCGACAACCCCGACACCAACAGAAGAAAAGACGATGTGCTCTAGTCACTAAATACTTCAAAAAGAGAGAACTGGACGCTCTGGTTTTCCCCCCACGTATCACTCACGAGGAAGAGGTTGCCAGATCCTCGCGGCGTGGTTCGCTTCGTCGCCTTTGATGCGCCTCCGTTTGAAAATATGGCCATCGCTCGCTGTGCAGCTCCAGGATCTGTCGTCTCTCCCCTTCACCAACGTTGCTCTGCTAAAAGCGGTAGGTGTGTCAGATACGATAGGCTCCGACAGCAGCAGCGAACACGAGCGAAGAACGTGAACCTGCGCCTGGGGCCCAAAAAAGAATCCGTTTGGGAATGAGGCGGGTGTACTGCTGTAGGTCGATGATTGCTCGCCTTATCCGTGTATCGGTCTTCACTTTGTCTGTCCTCTCTCTAAGCAGTAGGATGGTAGGCAGCAGCAGCAGCAGCAACAGCAGCAGCGTCGTTGGTGGTTGTTGCAACCGGAGTGGTGATGGATACCGTTGGCGGCGGCGGTGACGGGGCGGGTTCCAGGCGGAGAAGGGGGGGGGGTGAATGTGTGTATTCCATTGGGCCCGGGGCAAAGCTTTGGTATGCCACGCCCTGATACGTCGGATCTTTAGGAATCGCGGGGGAGGAATGCCGGCCGATGATTGGCTCTACGAATGGAGAGTTCAGAGTTCGCAAGCTGCGCCGATTGATCTGATGCCGTTTCGTAAAATCACTTGGGAAAACAACACACACATACGGCAAACAGCAGCATGTTTTTTTTCGCATCTTTCCATCTAGCGACTTCCCTGGCGATACATATGTGTGATGATGAGGGATGTCCGCATCCATCCGTGTTTTCAATTATCCGCGCCGACAACACGCACGTTGACTCGCAAGAGCAGTAACCGCGTGGACCTCTTCGTCGTTCCGTGGGAAATGGGAGAGGGGCGGGCAGGTGCGGAAAAAAATGGCACGACCGCTGTGCTGCTACAACTGCGGCTGCGGCTGTTTAATACGACGGAGGTGTTTCGAAGAGTTCATTTTTCGTTCCCATTCACACATAGACAGAGGGCTGTAGCAGAAGCACGGGGGGCGTGAGTCTGAATGCATCTTGATCTGGGAGGTTGTACGACCGCGGAGTTTCTTTTTTGCTTTAAGTTACCGCTGTGCTGCCTCAAACAACAACAAGCTTGTTGTTGAAGACGAGTGCGAGAAGCAGAGGGAAAACAGCACAGGCAGGTGCGCAGGTACCACACATGTATGTAAGGTCGCAAAAACAAGTACGTACGACAACAGCGCTGAGGGTCCGACGTTTCGGCGGCTTTTTGAGGGCAGGCGGGACGGCTCTTGCCCTCAAGGGCAGATTTCCGACGCCGGGTGGCAAGCGCATCACACGGAGCCAAAAAAATCTTGGAAAATTCTCCTCTGCTGTCATCTACCGAATCCCTGTGTCCGTTCGCATGAAACGGACACACACATTTTTTCGGATTCCTCGCGCACTCACGAACCACATGCGACATCATCACGATCTTGTACACATTCTCGCCAATTGTTGCCCAAAAGGAGAACTAACATTTTGGCGTGCGCGTTCTTGGTCCACACTCTGTTTGATTCCGCTTCAAATCAATCCCGTTGTTGGCACGCACCATCGCGGGTAGAGGATCGATGGTCAGTCTCATTAGTCGTGGCTTCACACGCCTTGATCTCCGTTGTACTGGAGATATTTCATTGTCACGGCGACGTCGTGTGTGTATGCATGTGTGTTGTGCGACTCAGTGGCAGCACATCGCAATATGTATAATGCAAGCATCAACCATCGTGGCCCTGTTTTGTGGCACTCGGTGTGTGGAGTTGCACGTGCACATGGCGGTTTAAACATTGGGTATTTATATACCAACAAAATACAACACTTTTTTCGTGGCAATACGGCGATGGCAACGTCGATATGGCGCGTCTCGGAAGATATTCTGCTGTGCACGCACGACGCACAATCTACAGTTTGAACCAAATGCAATCAATATCACCTAGCAGTTCTACAGTCTACAACTTTAATGTACACCCGCCAGCATAATCCAGAAGCATTTTTACTTGCTGACTAATGTACGCCCTTACGATACCATCTTCACGGTTGCCCACGCCGTATTCCTACTGCTTGCGTCACGAACTTGCATACAGGAGGGCACCTACGACGGGGAGACGAAGGGAGGCGTGCGTGAGGGCAGGGGGCGGCTTGTGTGGTCAAACGGGGACACATACCTGGGAGACTTCCACAACGGACTCCGACATGGTCAAGGTAGACTACAGCTATTTTCCAACTGCTACTGGGTAGTATTTCTGTGGTGGTAGTCTACCGACGACCCCCGACGAGGATGCACTTCGATGCTGCTTGCTGTGGCACAAGACATGGAAGAACGCGCTGAAAGAAGAGGGAAGGGAAACAAGGGACAGAAGGACGAGAGGAAGGAGGGGCGGACGGAGGGAAGGAGGAGGGAGGGAGGGAGGGAGGGAGTACGAAAATAGAGTAGGATGGGGTGTGTGCACTACAGACGCAGCGGAACACACACCACGAGACCACGCCACCCACGTCGACTTCCATGCTCCGCAGAGAAGGGAAACCAAGGCCATGCTTGCCACAGTACATCAAATGTTTGTTGCATACGGCAGGTTTCGGAACCACCTCCGTGCAAGACGTCATTCCCCGCATCATCAGTCAGCCTTTGGATACACCCCTCTCATGGTAGCCTACTTTGTTAATCGAGCCACGAAGCGTGGCCTGGGCTGCGACGAAAGCAGCGCGAACAATCGGTTCCTGCACAATCTCGAAAATGTCCACAGCAGTGAGTAGAACGGTCGGAAAGGAGCGCAGCGTGCGCGTATCCCTCATTTCCGTCTTGCCGTGCGGTGCCTCGTTCAAGACCTACATATCTCCACGTAACATTGATTGCGGTTCACACCACCTTTCTGGATTGAGTTATGATTTAATGCTTGAGTCTTCATGGACTCACAAAGTTCATTCGATAACCATGACTACTTACACTGTAAACATACGATCACAACGGATTTCATGGTTGGCGTGAAGCAGGAGTTTTTGAATCGAAGCGAGGCATTCGGTACGAGGGCGAATGGCGCGTCAGCCGCCGGCACGGCGAAGGGTCCCAGGAGTGGCCCAACGGAGAACGGTATAATGGGGGCTGGAGAAACGACACGCCGGACGGCCGAGGCACCTGGCTAAAGCGCGGCGGAAGGTAATAGACTAATTGATGGGCTTCCGCCACCAAGACCGCTGACAACTTTTTCTACAGCTTGTTGTGGTAGCCTCATCGTACGGGTTTTCGCTGCCCGCTTGTACCAGCATACCAGGCTTTTATCTTTGTTCGTTGGCGTTTTAGTCTGGTGGTACACAGGGATAGTGCAAAGTCGGCCGGTTCTACGCCGCCGGTGTCGGTCGACATTGGGGGGCTAACTTGCCACGGTAACGACGCGCCGCCTGAAAAAAACAGATACGCCGGTGATCTGCGGGAAGGGGTGAAGCACGGCAAGGGTGTCCTGAAGCTGAGGAACGGGGGAGAGTATGACGGCCAGTGGGCTCGAGGGCGGATGGAAGGCTTCGGGGTCTACATCTGGCCCGACGCCAGGATCTACAAGGGGGGGTGGGAGGCCGGCCTGAGGCACGGGGAAGGGACCCTCTCTTTGCCATCCGGGGAGAGGTAGGTCAGCCGGGCGGCTCTGTCGTGAACCAGTGTACATCGCGTTGCAACCAAGAGTCTTTAATTCACGAAGAAGGGGGAACAGGGGGACTATGCTATCGCTTGACTAACACACTACAATTATGGTCTTCATCCTGACAGGAGACGCCCCTGGCAAGGCAGCACCCGTGGTGTGGGGTGTAGAGGCAGGCAGGGCATGTCAGCCTGCAGTTTCTCGTCGGTGGGAGATGACCATTTGGTTGTGCATACAAACGCGAGGGAAGAAAAGCAACAGCGTAGAATACAAGCGTGGGTCGTTCTCTACTGGAAGCACTGGTGTCCAGAAGTTTTTTGAAACTGTCATTCCAGAGACTGATCCAGAGACCAATGCAGTGGCTGATCCAGAGCCTGGTCATCAGCGTGGGGAGGCAATCGATATGACAGCCACCTTTTCATGTGAACCACACCGGGTGTTTTGTATGCACCACACATTCCCAGCGGTTTGTGGCGTACACGCCTGTTGCAAGTGCCGCATTTGACGTGGCCCTCTGCGGCCAAGTTACATTTTCCCATCATCCACCTCGCGGGAAACTCTGTGGCTGTTTGTCTCAAAACAACTGCGAACCCGACCTGGCTCCAAAACGATTGAACGAGCCGTCACGCACGCTCGATATTCAGGCAAATTATAAAAAAAACGGTTGGAGAGAGAACGGCAATGAAGTATCATCTGAAGACGTCGTGCCGTAGTTAGCAACAGACCCAGGACGCCGCTACAGGCTGCACGCTGATGATTCTCGGTACACCGCAGAATGAACCACGTGCGGATCGGCGAACATGGTTGTTTGCACACGTGTGTGATGTCACCTCTGTCTATCGTCTCGAACGAATATATCAGGTACAGCGGGCAGTGGAAGGAAGGGAAGAAGCACGGGGAGGGCGTGTGGAGGTGGAGCAACGGACGAACAAGGTGGCGTGTGTTGTGTTGGCGTGCACGGATGTTGAGGAAGACTAGCACGTTGCCTGTAGTAAAAGCCCCGCAATGCATACGGCGGTACCGATACACGCTTGTGCGGTTCCAAGCTGACAGCGTGGATCGATCCGGCAAGGGCACGGGTTTTTACCGTACCACCATATATTCTACCGCAGTGGTAGCAATTCGTAGCGCGTCCAACAATTCTTTGCACAGCCGCTCGCGCGCATGTATGTATACCCTCGTGCAGAAAGCTCTTCCTCGTGTTGGGAGGTGAGGCAGACAGCGCTGTACTCTTGAGGTGCCCTATAATATCATAGCTGGCGGGCCCCTTCACGCTACATGAGCGCGTGGCGGACGAGGCGGGACCGAACCACTCGTGCTTACGTAGGGCATGGTAGAATGCTGCTTGTTGGTACTGTGCACGAGAAATACTCCATAGTAGTTCGAGTTTAGTCTTGCGCGTCATCGTAGCTGCTCGGGTGAGACAGGGGCAGGTCGCAGAGAGAGGTAATGTTGCCCTAGGAATCAGATAGGCACTACGGCCGGAATAAGTGCAAGGAGGGACTGCTGCCACCAAGAAAAGGAACGCATCTGCCAACATCACGGATTATCGGCGAGCGCATGGACACATCGCCTTCGCGCAATGCCTCCCATTTCTCCTCCCCACGCCTCTACGCTTGGTTCCCTGCCTTGTCTGGCCGGAGAACCCCCCATGCTGTACTCGCCCCGCCCCGGTTTCGCCATGGAAACCTGCAGGGGTGGTAGGCGCTACGGCACTGAAGTTGCACCGACATGCTCACTACCATGAACACCCCCCGATCACCACCACCACCACCTTTCCTTGCCACAGGCGAGGTGAGTGGCACAACGACGTGCTGGTGGGCTGGACCAGCGCCGAGGTCTTCGGAAACCAGCCCCCGAAGCTGATAACGGCGGGCGGAGGCGGCGGCGGCGGCGGCGGCGGCGGCGGCGGCGGCGGCGAAAGTAGCCCTAAACGACGCGGCCGCGGGGACGACGGCAACAGCAAGAGCCTGAAGACTGCAGCGTCGGCCACCACCGGCAACAAGAGCGGTGTTGGCACTGCTACGAACCCGGCGAGGGCGGGTGTCAACAGCGGCAGTGACAACAAGAGCGGTAAACAAGAAGGAGCGAATCAATACAACAACAGCAGTGGTGGTGGTAGTAGTAGTAGCAGTGGCCCGAACGGGACGGGAGGCGGCAGGAAGGCGTTGACGAAAGGAAGCGGCGTTTCGGGGAGAGGGCCGACGGACGGCATCGGAGGGGGCAGCAGCAGCCCGACGACGGCGACACGGCGGGCAAACAATAGTAGTAGTAAAAGCCCGAAGCAGTAGCCCGTGGGTTGTCGCTACTCTGCTGCATGGGTCCACTGGAGGGGTTGTAGTCAAGGACTGTAAGAAGTTACTTGCGTTGTTGTCGAGCTCAAGCTTCGCACTCTTCGGAGGCGGTCGGCACCTGACGTTTGGTTTGCTAGGCCGACCAAGAGAGTTGTTTTTCCGAGAAAAACAAATAAGACCACAACAACTGTCAACCATCTTCCTGGTCGCGATTGACCTGTACATCTTGACCAGCTCGCCGATCCTCTCTCCACGTTGTTGTTGTTGTTGTTGTTCTAACATAAGCTCCATAGTCCACAAAAAATGGGGAGCCCATGGTCTCAAAACCCGGCACATACGACGCCGCGGGGAAACAAAACAATAATAGGGTACAAACCACGTGGAAAAAGAAAACAAAATGACAGAAGAAAAGAACAGCTACCGCACCGACCGTTCGAGAAAAGTGCCCTCGGAAACCGATTGAAAAAAAACAAAAACAAAAATGAAGGAGGACGCTTCCCACACCCGCCTGAAAAAAAATCAAAGGGTAACGGGCACCCGGCCATGACTCCCTCCCTGCCGAGTTGCTCAAGATCGATGACGACGAACCCTTCGTCCTGGGACACTTCCATACCATCCTCGTCAAGGTGTGAAACGGAGGAGATATTCCGCGAGAGTGGAAGGATGCAACCATCAAGGTGCTGTACAAGAAGGGTGACCGGTCCAAGTGTAACAACTACAGGGGGATTTCGCTAGTATCTCACGTAGGCAAGGTCCCCATCAAGATCATCACCAACCGTCTAAGCCCCTTCTGCGAAGCCAATATCATCCTCCCGGAGGAACAGTGCGGATTTCGACCCGGGGNAAGGTGCTGTACAAGAAGGGTGACCGGTCCAAGTGTAACAACTACAGGGGGATTTCGCTAGTATCTCACGTAGGCAAGGTCCCCATCAAGATCATCACCAACCGTCTAAGCCCCTTCTGCGAAGCCAATATCATCCTCCCGGAGGAACAGTGCGGATTTCGACCCGGGGGATCCACCGTCGACATGCTGCTCGTCGTGCGCCGCCTCCAGGAGCTGGGGCGGACAAAGAAAATACCGCTCTACATGTGCTTTGTCGACTTGAACAAGGCGTGTGATTCGGTGGACCGAGAGATGCTATGGAAGGTGCTGGCCAGGGCCGGGATTCCCGCGAAGCTGATCGAAGTCATCCGCCACTTCCCCGATGGAATGCGGGCCCGTGTGCGCATGGACGACGGAGAACTATCGGACTGGTTCTTCGTGACACAGGTCGTGCGACAAGGATGTGTGCTATCCCCACTGCTGTTCAACATCTTCTTCGCCGAGGTCCTCGAGGGCGTTGTCATCCGATTCAGCGAGGATGACGTTGTTCTGCGGAGCCTGGTGTGCTTGGAGGAGGGGAAGACGGTAGCGGGGGGGGGGAAGGAGTACGGAGGGCAGTATGGGGGATGCTGTATGCCGATGATGCCGGCGTCGTTTCGAGGTCTGCAGAAGGACTGGCGAGAATGATGACCATCATCGTTGAGGTGTTCGGGGAGTTCGGGCTAACGGTGTCGGAGAAGACAGAGACGCTCCTGATGCGCGCGAAGGACAAGTCGATTACAACATCACAGCCCGCCCCGCCTCCACCGCTGACCATCGAAGCCGCGGGACAGAAATACGCCCAGACGACCTAGTTACGGTACCTCGGTGGCCTCGTCAACGAACATGACGACCTCACCAGGGAGATCAACTACAGGAGGAGCAGAGGAGCGTGGGCGTGCCTCAGCCGATATGGCCGGGAGCTCTTTGTTCGACAGACCGCAAGCGCCATTCCGACTTAAGATCCGCCTGCTCAAGGCGGAGGCGATGGAGGCACCACTGCTGTACGGCTGCATGACATGGTCACCGCTGCGGTCGATACACCACCGACTGCTCCTTCGAGTTATTGGGTACAAGCTCAAGAAAGACACCTACCAGCAGTTCTCTTACGCCAAGACGCTGAAGAGGGTCGAATGCCAGAGCGTTGAAGCCACGATCCGACAACGACGCCTACTGTTCGCGGGAGCATTGGCAAGGCAGCCGGACGGGCGACTCCCGAAACGACTGATGCTCAGCGAACTGGCAGGGGGGGAGAAGCGACGTAGGGGGGGACAGGAATATAACTGGCCGAAGTGTGTGCTCGACGACCTGAAGGCACTCGGGGCAGACCACGGATCTACGAAAACCGATCCATGTATGTTGTCTCGGAATCCCGGTACCGAAAGGCACGGCACCGAAGTTAAAGTGGACGGAAGCCGCGAAGGTGGAGGGGGGAGTACCCTGGCATGCGGCGGTGCTGCAGGGAGTTGGGAGGTTTATGACCTCCTGGCACGAGAAGGAAGAAGAGGCCAGCCGACAACGGGCGCTAAGACGAAACCACAAGCCACAAACCAATGGGGCGGGAGGGGGGCAGGAGACGGACGAGACGGCGAGGGAAGAAAGCAAACGAGACGAGATGGACCGAGTGGCGCGATACGTTCCAGATTGAATTTCTTTTAGCCATTCCCCCCCTCCCTCGCAATCTAGACTTCAGTGGGTTGGCGCTGTTGGCAAAGCGCTGTAAAACACGCCACCCCAAATATAGCCC